ACTGTTACTTGAATCAGTTTCAGATTCTAAATTGGAAGAGCAATTTGAACTGGCATCAGATTCACATTTTTCAATCACTGAGGTTCCAGAAGGATCAGTCTGACACAAAGAACTTCTTCCGTCTTCCTGCTCTCCTGTTTCAGACTTTGTGTCCTTTACAGCTCTCAAGAATTTTGCTTTTCTGAAAGACCTCCCAGCCTTTGGACTGGTCACCTTGCTGTTTTTTTTACCTTTGCACTTGCCTGACTCAGAACCTGCCTCATCCTCAGAGTTGCTCGCTTCATGATGTTTGCGTGCAGTAGACTGATGAGTAGCTTTCTGACTGCGCCTATCCTTTGACTTACAGCTTTTGGAGTCTTCCTCTGGAGGTTCTACTGTGGAACTTTTCATTTTAAGAGATGCAGTATGGACAGTTCTGTGTGGCTGTTTATGATTATTATTATGCCTGTTCTTTTGTGTTATCTTTGTCTCTCTCTTAGAATCACATTTTCTCCTTTCAGATTCACTAATATATTTTCTTCTAGCAGCAGCTGAATGAGACTCAGAAAGTGTTTTCCTGTTAGTATGTTGCTCTTTTACTTTTTTACTTTCAGACCTGAAAATAGCTTCTACTGTACAGCTATCCATTAGCCTTTTCTTGGATGCAGCAGAAACAGTCAAGTGAGGCAGTTCTCTGTTCCTTTTTTCAATGCTTGTACTTTCTGAGCTGGAGAGCTCTTCCTTTATAGCACTCATCTTAATTTTATTAGCAGCCAAAGTAGCACTTCTGCGTGGAGTTTTTTTCCCAGTAAAAGTTTTGGCATTTAATGTGTCACTAGCCAACTTTGTATATTTTTTGTAGTCATTCATATAGGTCCTGCTCCTGAGCACTTTTGTATTTTGTCCAATCTCCTCAGAGGTTGATTCTACAAAATAAAGATTCAAAAGTTCCTTTAAATAACTTACAATTCTCTTAAAATTATATTTTACTCAGTACAAGCTTTACTAATGCTGAAATACATAGAAATCTTTTTTAAAAATACAGATTATGCACTTCTCAGGTATGTGTAGTTTACTTTGGGCAATTATTTAAAAGATCAGTAAGGGACATCCTTTTAATTTTCAACACTGTTTTTGAGATAAGAGAAGTGATATTGTTCACTCACATTGACAGTCAATCCTAAAATCACTACTTACCTTCAAGAAGGGGAATGATCTCCAGATTCTAATACCTATGTGTAGTGTTAAATCTTTTGCAAATGAGTCTCTTTAAAAGAAATCATTACTCTCATTCATGAACCTGTAGTAATTTTTGTTCTGCTAATGCAGAGGCAGCCATTCAAAAAGCCAAAAAAGTACAAATTAAATTTTATTACCAGAAGAATGTTGATAATGTATGCATATCAGGGGTAAAAAAGCAAACAATTTTACAAACCAGACCTGGACCGTAGAACTCACAAGACAGACGATCACTGGACTTATCACTTTCAAAACTGATTGCATAACTCGTTTCTTTAGAACAGCTATCCCTTAAATGTGTGTCTCACAGTCAAACACACACACTAGGTCTTATAACCTCATAGTGCTATTTATTCTACAGGCCGTGAAGCAAGACAAAATACTTCTCTAATTTCATACACAGCAGGTGCTTCGACACTACAGTGCCAGGGAATAGCAAGGACAAATCAAAAAGTTTGTTTCCAAAAATATATCACCTTGTGTTGTAATTGATTTAATGAAATATAAAAGTACTTGCTATTATCTAATGGTCTCTGGAATGTCATGATGTGTCTCTCTTTAAAACTTAGTTTAATTTCTTAATATCTAAAGAAAATACATTCAGCAAACGTGGGGACTGCACTGCACTGATTTGCTTTAATTAAATTCCATAATTTCAATGATATTTAAAATCCACAAAGATTAAAAATAGAAAAAGCAGTTGTTTGGGTTATCTATACATCACAAAGCAGCAAATAAGGACAAACCTCTTTTTTACCCTTCCCAGATTAATATCCAAATTAATACATTTGATATTGTTCTATGGATGATTTTTTTTTTTTTAAGATTTCTAATTTAGCCCTAGATCAGAAAACATATTCCTAGAGTCCTGCAAATCTATGGATAACTCTTTATATCAGTGGATAGCCGTATCTGCAGACCATTGTTGCAGGTTATGGACTGAATATGGTTACAACTTTTGTATCTAGTGCCCTGCAAATCTATGGATATTATTTTTATGGATCAGATGTGAAAACATATTAGGTAACCATAGCAGTGCTCTAGTTATTAGGTGCTTCATAGTCTGATGAACATACATTCTCAGCAAGTGTTGCACATCCAAAATAACTACACAAAACTGTGGAAGAAATAATATATTATAGCAAGTCTGACACTGTACATTTTGTTTTCATGGTTTTTTCAAAATAATCTATTAGCAACATTTTTGATTTTTTTAAAAAGTGTAATATGAAAAACACAAGTGGTCGATGGTGGTATTTTATTAATCTTAATCCATTTAATCAGAACATCTGATGGATAACCTGTAGTCTCCATTAAGAACTCTTGAGTAACAGCATACACTATTCTTATTAGTGAAGCTGCTGCTGTCAGAGGAACTGAAGAGCTGATGTCACTGGACAAGCCCATTTAGGAGTTGAATTGGAGGCACTGTCTAAAAGGAGTCAGGAATGAAATCTGCTGCCTACCCAGTGCCAGGAGCTGCACTGGTGGCGCACACTACATAGTGGCATGAAAAAAGAGCCAATGTATCAGAACAGAAACCGCACATATCACAACCACGAGACAATTGAAATCTATTTCAGAAGACCAAAAAAGTTATGTATTGGGCTGAATTATCCTTAAGTATGTCATTGTCTACATCTCAAAGAATTTTCTCCCCTCACATAAGCCAAAGGAGTAGATACAGTAAATCTAATGCTATTGCTAACATTACCACAAATGATGGTGCAGCCAGGACAAACAGAAATGTTTGTATTTGAAGCACTGACACAATATAGTGCAAAGTGCAATAATCATTTGCAATGCCATGATTTTGGCTGCACAGACAGGAAGGCGATCCAAAGAACAGAGTTTATCACCTGAATTGCAAATAAGCTCCTGACTGCCCATTTCTTTTTTTTAATTTCTCCCTCTAAGGGTCTATGAAATGTTGACATTTCCCCACCAGTCCGGCACTGGTCTGTGCTCACCAGCAGCGACAAACTTGAAAATGTCCTGAATTCCCATTTGGAAAATTTGGAGCCAAGTGACTTAACAAAATAAATGCACAGCTTTGCAAAGTCATCATATAACCTCATTCTATTGCATCCAGTTAGAGATGAGTGAAATTTGTTCAATAAATTGTTGATTCAATGAAAAATGATTTTCTGGGCACCTAAAACAATGTGAAGTTGGGTCAAATTGCTAAGTTTCAGCTTAAACTCCCTTTCGGGAAAACCTTTCAGGGTTTCCAAATCTCTGGGGGAAAACAATATAGCTTGTTCAGAGTGGAGCTGCATACTAATTTAAACCATCACAATTATATTGTGGAACATTACATTTGATATAGTGGCTGCATATTGAAGGATAGGATAGTTCAAAGTGGACACATGCCAACTTAAAATAATTACACGAATGTCAAAATAATTAATTACATTTCTGTCATACCTAAAAATTATAAAGCAAGTGAACAATTTTGAGGAAAAAAATCTCAATTTTTTAGTTTTACTTGGTGCATTTACACTAAAATATTGCCAACATTTAGTTTAACCTTTTCCTCTAAATAAATGTAGTTTCCAGTTTGTGTGGGATTTTCTATACCGGAATAGAGGAGATAAAAACACCTTAGAGACACAAAAATTATAAAAGCACAGAAACAGCAGATTGTCTTCATGGGCTTATGTGGTTCCTAAAGATATCTACAACTGATTTGAAATGTATTCGTCAGCTCCTTTTTAAATTGGCTTCATTGACATTTGAAGGTCTTAGGGATGCTATGCTGGCTCTGAATATATTTGGATCCCACATCTTTACCAAAAGGCATGTGTTTTTACATCAGACTCAACACAGATGTTATCACATCCAAGCTTCAGCTGTGGTGAGCCCCATGCAGCACAGGACTCTTTCCATTTTGTCTCATTTTAACAAAACATTTGCTGGAAGTTTTAGAACATTCATGTTGCCCTATACGTACTATTATTGTTTAAAGAGACATCAACTTCAAAAAACTAACAAAATATTAGCAATCATACCGCTCTATTTTGTTAGCACTTTGATGCTTTTGCTGCTGTATTGAGGATGGATGACTACTATATAAAACATAATTATTCCATAATAAGCGTGGCCACTTTCAAGTAAAAGCTAGACCTCAAGAAGTTATATGGATAAACGCTCTCTCAAATTAATAGCCTTTGTACTTTAAAATACTAATCAGATGCAGCCATTGGACTTGGCAGGTCACAAATGTGGCCCTCACTGCTGTACAGGTTTTGCAGCATTGATCCATTATTAGAAGCACTGTATTATTCATTGGCAGTCTGAGCTAGCTTTTAAAACTAATTATTGCACTGTAAAGAAAAACCTTTAAAATAAACCGATGCATTTTAACTCAGGAATTGTATCATTTTTGAAGGATGAGCAGTCTTTCATTAAGAGAGGAGACAAAATGATTTGAATTTTAGCTCTATTTAGGATATCAGAAACTGGAAGACAAATTAACATTTTGAATCCAAGAACATAAACATACAATACATTGAGAACTACAATTTAACCAGAGTGATAGAAAAAAGTGATATAAATCAGATTTTCTTCAAACTGCAGAAGATGACAGATTAAAACATCTGCCTTTCATACTAACGGTAAAACAATTCTCTCTCCTATCCGGGGAGGAAGGAGGGGGAGAAGGAATCAAAGATCAATGCTGGTTAATTTATTTTAGCACTTCTCACATTTGTCATGGTTAACAATTTTCCAACAAAAGTTTTTAAAACAATTCTTTAATTGGTCATCTTTGAACAGATAGCATTTTGCAGCTATACATAAAGTTCTAAATTAGGAAAATTTTTATTTCAGAGTTATATCACTTTTCTCTTTCCTACCACAAACTATATAAATTCAAATTGAATATAATATTTTATGTAAAAATTAGCAATTCCCTTTTACAATATTAAAAATATCTTCAAATGCTTTGAAAAATAATGTTCATATCTCCAAAAATAGTAAGTTATATACTGGATTCAAATATTTTCTACTTACAAAACAAGTTTCAGATAAGAGCCATTCAATACAAAAAAATACCAAAGGGTGCTGAAAACAAAGCCAATACTTTTTAAAGTATTAACTGAATAGAAACAAGATCTATAACAACACAGCTACTATACCTCTAAAGTTTAGTGGGCAATCAAGGGCTCAGTGTTTTGTTGCTGATCATCTGCTCTACCTGCAATTCTTACACTTAAGTCTATTTGACAACAATTAATCAGTGTACAGGTAGGTAGGTCTTAGTAGGTAAAAAAAATTCTTGTGGAAAATTGTCAAGATAGCAGAATTGGTTACAAAACACTTTAAATGACTTTCTTCCTGAGATTCTCAACCCATGTAAACATATACCCCATATGTCACAAAAACATACCAAAACTATCTGTCTACAATAGACATTTTAAAGTGCAACAATCAGTTATATGGCAATCAAGAAAAAAACAGAAAAATTACAATATTTTGACAGTTGTGTGTTAGAAATAATGCTGAACCAAGCCCATATTCCCCTTCTCAGATTTAGTAGTTTGAAGAAATTATTTTGGTTGAAATTAAGAACTGGAAAAAGGTAACTATAACATGAAGATTTTAGCTCATCATAATGCAGTTAAGGGCAGGTCATCTTTCCTCAGCTGTCAAATACCTCAGGACCTACTTTCTTTACAGTAGTGAATATAGATGGTAATCCTCTCTTCAAGCCCAATTCCAGGCAAGGTGGGAAGAGAAATCTTTTATGCTTTCATTCTTAATCATATTTGGTGTCAAGCAAACAAAAAAGTAGTTTTTAGAAGTTAAGTAAAGTAGAACATATCGTGATACTTTAAATTCAATAACAATTTTGAGACTGCCAAAAGGAAGAAGAGTACTGCAGAAATAAGGCAAGATAATTTATGCAGTCTAAATAATATGAATATAAAATATCAAATTCTTTCTTGTCCTTTATTCCATTTAATACTAACTATTTCACCAGATTAATAGCTACAATATTATTTCATCCAGAATCTTAGAGTTACTGTAATGATATGCCTTAACTTTTTTCCACACTCCTATTCACCCCACTGATTACTACATGAAGTTGAAAATATATGTAAAGGTGCTAACCTCAAGGAAAACCACATATGTTCTGGCTTCACAAAGGACAGACATCTCCAGAAAGAGACTGGTTCTTTTGCATTATAATTTTAAAAAGCACTCTGCAAAAATAAGCTGGAAGGGGGGTGATGTATTTTTTTTTCCTGAAGAATATGTAAGTTCCATACACCACAACTCCATATGCTAGATTCAATCCCTTTTACTGGGGATTACAACTCATGAGAATTCTCAAAGCTCTAGAACTAGTTATAGTCTCGATGAGGACTACAGATGCCTCAAACTTATAATATGAAAAAAAGAACAAGTAAAATACCTATCCTTGCTCAATTGCTTCTGTTGCAATATTTATGAGAATTCTCTAAAGTAAGTGCTTGAGCACTTGGGTTCTTTTTTCTGATAGTTACTTTTTGCAAATTTTGGGGGGGATTTTTTGGGGGTATATAAGACTGGTTTTGTGGACCAGTGTCTTCATCTCCCTGACAGTTTTGGTAGAGGCAAGAAACAAGAATAAGCAGATGCAGAGTCTAAATTGGCTAAATGATGGAAAAAAGATCCAAGCTCCTAAAAGAGGAAGTTGCAGCAACACACTAGATATGGCCTAGTGAATCTCAATGTCATTCTGATGAGTCTAGTTGTCAAAGAAAATTCCCAAACTGGACTTCAATTAGCACAGGGAAGTATATAGGAAAAAAAACTAAATGAAATAAGAGGATGAAAAATGAAGAATGAAAAATGTAGAGAAAGAGTAAGCTCAGCACTATCTAGCAGCCAGGTGTCAAGATGCTGAAGGAAGGAAAAAAGTGGGGAAGGGGCACCCTTAATAGTGGGTAGGGGATTGGAGGAATATGGGGCATGGGGTCTGGGCCACAGAGGCTTCGAGAAAACCCCAACTAGAGGGGAAGGTTGGCACCTATGCTGTGAAGGACCATAAGAGTGATTTAACACTTTGATCAAACAAATGAAAAACCAGAATATCCCATGAAATCTGGAGAAAGGAGATATAAGGGACATGACAGTATCTGTTGGCCAAAAAGTTTTTATCTTAAAAAATTAAACTAGTGTAAGAAAAGGAGTGCATGCAGACACCCGATAACTAGCAGCATATTGCTATTCCGGGGCCGTTTTCCTCCTTTAAAAAAAAAAAAAGGTGGTAAAACATCATGAAAACAAAAATTAAAATAAATTTTTTTGCAGATTCCAGTTTACCTCATGGAAGCATCACTATAAAAATAAACCTTTCAGTCAAATAAAAAACATTATTTAAACTTAAACTAATAGCTTTTATCCATTCAATTGCATTAAAAATCAAATAATTTGGAAAAAATTATCTACTTTGTAAAGTCACTGTTACTTTACTCATGGATTTCAAGGTCCTACTGACTTATTACAATACTGATTACAAAACTGTTACTGTCAGACGAAGTCTCTAGAACAAGGAACAGGTGTTAGAACAGACCACTTCAAGATTTTGAAATCTCTGAAATTGTGTGCCATAGGCAATTTTCTCACACAGCACCTATTAAAGTATGCTCAATATTTTGTTAGTTCAATTGGTTTTGAAAACTGCTATTCTGAGTAGTAATATTCAGTTCAGACCGCTCCAAAATGAAATTTTTGAATCAGATGCTACATGGACCCGCAAATACAATCTGAAATATGACAGGGACAACCACAGAACTGAGTTTTTCACAGAAAAATTATAACATTTTCCCTGAATTGCAAAGAACCACCAGCATTCATCGTGAATTCCAAAACTATTACCACAAAGTGGAATAGATTTCCCTCTATTATGTTTTGTAAGCCCTCATTTTGAATACAGTCTAGACCCCATCCTCATCTTACAATCTTCATATCTTCATTTCTAGTTCATATTTTAGAGCATTGAGCTCTTACGTTTTGTAGTCCAAATCCTCCCAGTCATTATCCTCCATATTAATCCTGTATCGTTTCCTCTCTCTAGACAATTTAATAGATTTAGATGCATTAGCTTTAAAATTTTTACCTTTTCTAATGATTTTTGTTTTTCCTTTTCTTTTCCTCTTTTTTGTGTTTGTGGCATTGCTATAGTTACTGCTATTGGAATCAGTGTCAAATTCTAAATTAGAAGAGCAATTGAAACTGGCATCAGGTCCAGATTTTGAACTCCCTGCAGTTCTAGAAGGTCCCATGTTCTCTGACACAGGCGGTCGTTCATCCTCCCTCAATTCTGCTTCAGACTCAGCTGTGTTCTTCAAATCACTCAAGGCTTTTGCTTTTTTGAAAAGAGTTGTGGATTTCTGACTGGTCATCTTCTTAATTCTTCTACCACTCAACTTGCATGACAAAGAATCTGCCTCATCCTCAGAGCTGTTCACGGACAACAGTGTGTGCATGGAAGTTGACTGGTCAGACACCTTTTGACTGCTCCTGTCCCGTGACTTATGGCTTTTGGTGTCCTCTGAGACTTCTACTGTGGGATTTTTAATTTTAGGAGATGCAGCACAGACTGTCCTGTGTGGTCGTTTATGACCATTACTTTGTCTACCTTTTGGTGCCATTTTTGCACCTATTTCAGAATCTGAACTTTTATCTTCGGATTCACTAATATATTTTCTTCTAGAAGAACCACCAGCTTGTGAAAGCATGTTCTGCTTAATATACTGTTCTTTTAGTTCTTTTTCACTTTCAGACTTTAAACCCGTGTCATCGTCAAAGCCATCCAATAACAATTTCCTGGCTGCAGCAGACGCACTACGGTGGGGCAGCTTTCTGTTTTTGCTTCCAATGCCAACACTTTCTGAACTGGAGATCTCTTCCTCCACATCACTCATTAGTCTTAATTTATTGGCAGCCACAGCAGCACTTCTGCGTGGAATTCTTCTGCGATTATCATCTTTGTCATTCGCTATTTTGTAAGCCCCCTTTGAATATTCAGAGTCACTCCCATACAATCTTTTCCGAGTAGCTCTTCTGCTCTGTCCATTCTCTTGAGAGAAAGATCCTATCAAAAATAAAAATGATTAAAATATTTGTATTGTATTACAAATGTATTAAAACAGAATAAGAGACATTTATATTATAGTACTAACAATGTACAAACAGATCACACTGTGTTTAATGAGGTGATAAAAAGATCTGTATTTTTAAATGTTATAATAGCAAGGATAATTCAAACACATTACATGCTATTTTCAGTAGAGAACAGTTAAGGTTTTTGCCAGCTACATTATCATTCCACCTATGATTTTTATAATCTCTGAAATACATGCCCTGAGAAGTCCATCACCTCATCCCAGATTTAAGAATGCATCTGCAAGAAAATTTGTTTGTTTTGTTGCAGTTTGGTTGATGTGTGCATAGCACAAAAAAAGACACAGCACAAGGGCCATTCAAAGGTAACTTTCAAACACCTTTCCATTCCTGATTCTTGGGTCACATCAGCACCCTCTATGTTCTTCTTACTTATTCTGGATCCCTAGGATTCCAAATGCCTGCTCAATAGACAGGGATCACTGAAGCACACCATGGATGTGTTGTACTTTTCTCTGAAATGTTCTGTGCTGTGGAAGCATAGGTAGAGCTACAACAGTTTTAGGTCACTTGAAGATGTGTTGAGACAAGAGCAACACATTCTCTTTGGTAAGATGGTTTTATACTTGCTTTGACCCAGAGTGATGCAAAATTATCAGAATCAATCAGATCCCTAAAACACCACCATTATATCTCTGGCAACAGAACGCAGTGGTCACCCACAGCTTTAAGTCATAAAAAAGCCCCAAAATTAAAACATAGTAATTAAAAAGTGAATTAAAATACAGGAAAAAAAGCCATCCGATTAGAATTCTGGAACTTATTTTATTTAATGCAAACAAATCCACTAAATACTTAATTCATATTTGACTATGAAGTCCTATTGATAAAGGCTGCACACAGGTAGCTGTGTTCGTTTTCACAGAGATAGACAATTAGGAGTCCTGTGGCACCTTAAAGACTAACAGATTTATTTGGGCATAAGCTTTTGAAATATTATTTCCATGTTTTAAAAAATCCTAAGAGATGTACTTCATTTTTGTAGCACTGTTTGTCTTACATTTAAGAAGGATATTGTAGATTACATAAGAACATAGGAATGGCCACACTGGGTCAGACCAAAGGTCCATCCAGCCTAGTACCCTGTCTGTCCACAGTGGCCAATGCCAGGTGTCCCAGAGGGAGTAAATCAAACAGGTAATGATCAAGCCATCACTCTCCTGACATCCATCTCCACCCTTTGACAAACAGAAGCTAGGGACACCATTCCTTACTCATACTGGGTAATAGCCATTTATGGACTTAAGATCCATGAATTTATCTAGATCGCTTTTAAACCCTGTTATAGTCCTAGTCTTCACAACCTCCTCAGGCAAGGAGTTCCACAGATTGACTACGCGCTGTGTGAAGAAGAACTTCCTTTTATTTGTTTTAAACCAGCTTCCCATTAGTTTCATTTGGTGGCTGCTAGTACTTATATTATGGGAACAAGTAAATGACTTTTCCTTATTCATTTTCTCCACATCACTCATGATTTTATATACCTCTATCATGTCTCGTCTTTTCCAAGCTGAGAAGTCCCAGTCTCTTTAATCTCTCCTCATATGGGACCCATTCCAAACCCCTAATCATTTTAGAAGCCCTTCTCTGAACCTTTTCTAATGCTAGTATATCTTTTTTGAGATGAGACCACCACATCTGTACACAGTATTCAAGATGTGGGTGTACCATGGATTTTTCTAAGGGCAATAAGTTCTTCTCCATTTTATTCTCTATCCCTTTTTAAATGATTCCTAACATCCTATTTGCTTTTTTGACTGCCGCTGCATACTGCGTGGATGTCTTCAGAGAACTATCCACGATGACTCCAAGATCTCTTTCCTGATTAGCTGTAGCTAAATTAGCCCCCATCATATAGTATGTATAGTTGGGTTATTTTTTCCTATGTGTATTACTTTACATTTATCCACATTAAATTTCACTTGCCATTTTGTTGCCCAGTCACTTAGTTTGGTGAGATCTTTTGAAGTTCTTCACAGTTTGCTTTGGTTTTATCTACCTTGAGCAGTTTAGTATCGTCTGCAAACTTTGCCAATTCACTGTTTACCCCTTTCTCCAGATCATTTATGAATAAGTTGAACAGGATTGGTCCTAGGACTAACCCTTGGGGAACACCACTAGTTACCCCCTCTCCATTCAGAAAATTTACCATTTATTCCCACCCTTTGTTTCCTGTCTTAACTAGTTCTCAGTCCATGAAAGGATCTTCCCTCTTATCCATGACAACTTAATTTATGTAAGGGTATGTCTACACTACCCCCCTAGTTCGAACTAGGGGGGTAGTGTAGACATACCCTTACATAAATTAAGTTGTCATGGATAAGAGGGAAGATCCTTTCATGGACTGAGAACTAGTTAAGACAGGAAACAAAGGGTGGGAATAAATGGTAAATTTTCTGAATGGAGAGGGGGTAACTAGTGGTGTTCCCCAAGGGTTAGTCCTAGGACCAATCCTGTTCAACTTATTCATAAATGATCTGGAGAAAGGGGTAAACAGTGAATTGGCAAAGTTTGCAGACGATACTAAACTGCTCAAGGTAGATAAAACCAAAGCAAACTGTGAAGAACTTCAAAAGATCTCACCAAACTAAGTGACTGGGCAACAAAATGGCAAGTGAAATTTAATGTGGATAAATGTAAAGTAATACACATAGGAAAAAATAACCCAACTATACATACTATATGATGGGGGCTAATTTAGCTACAGCTAATCAGGAAAGAGATCTTGGAGTCATCGTGGATAGTTCTCTGAAGACATCCACGCAGTATGCAGCGGCAGTCAAAAAAGCAAATAGGATGTTAGGAATCATTTAAAAAGGGATAGAGAATAAAATGGAGAAGAACTTATTGCCCTTAGAAAAATCCATGGTACACCCACATCTTGAATACTGTGTACAGATGTGGTGGTCTCATCTCAAAAAAGATATACTAGCATTAGAAAAGGTTCAGAGAAGGGCTTCTAAAATGATTAGGGGTTTGGAATGGGTCCCATATGAGGAGAGATTAAAGAGACTGGGACTTCTCAGCTTGGAAAAGACGAGACATGATAGAGGTATATAAAATCATGAGTGATGTTTCCAGTCATTGGGTACAGAAGCTGATTTAAAGGATAGGTTACAAACCATATTTAATAGTTCCTCCATTTCACATTTGAGTTCTTTCAGAACTCTTGGGTGAATGCCATCTGGTCCCAGTGACTTGTTACTGTTAAGTTTATCAATTAATTCCAAAACCTCCTCTAATGACACTTCAATCTGTGACAAGTTCTCAGATTTGTAACCTACAAGAGACGGGTCAGGTTTGGGAATTTCCCTAACATCCTCAGCTGTGAAGACTGAAGAAAAGAATTCATGTCGTTTCTCCACAATGACTTTGTTATATTTAAGTGCTCCTTTTGTATTTCAGTTGTCCAGGGGCTCCACTGGCTGTTTAGCAGGCTTCCTAAACATTTTGTTATTACCTTTTGAGTTTTTAGCTAGCTGGTCTTCAAACTCCTTTTTGGCTTTTCTTATTACATTTTTACACTTAATTTGGCAGTGGTTATGCTCCTTTCTATTTACCTCACTAGGATTTGAATTTCTTTTAAAATATGTCTTTATCTCACTGCTTCTTTTACATGGTTAAGCCAAGCCACAGTGGCTCTTTTTTAATTCTTCTACTTTGTTTTTTAATTTGGGGTACACATTTAAATTGGTCCTCTATTATGGTGTCTTTGAAAAGTGTCCCTGCAGCTTGCAAGGATTTTACTTTAGTCACTGTACCTTTTAATTTCTGTTTAACTAACCTCCTCATTTTTGCATAGTTCCCCTTTTTGAAATTAAATGCTACAGTGTTGGGCTGCTGAGGTGTTCTTCCCACCACAGGAATGTTAAATGTTATATTATGGTTACTATTTCCAAGTGACCCTGTTATAGTTACCTCTTGGACCAGATACTGCACGCCACTCAGGACTAAATCAAGAATTGCCTCTCCCCTTATGAGTTTCTTTACAAGCTGCTCCAAGAAGCAGTTGTTTAAGGTATCAAGAAATTTTGTCTCTGCATCTCATCCTAAGGTGACATGTACCCAGTCAATATGGGGATAGTTGAAATCCCCCACTATTATTGAGTTCTTTATTTTGATAGCCTCTCTAATTTCCTTCGCATTTCATAGTCACTATTACTGTCCTGCTCAGGTGGTCGATAATAGATCCCTACTGTTATATTCTTATTAGAGTCAGGAATTACTATCCATAGCGATTCTATGGAACATGTTGATTCAATTAAGATTTTTACTTCATCTCATTCATCACATATAGTGCCACTTCCCAACCCACACAACCTGTTCTGTCCTTCCAATATATTTTGTACCCCGAAATGACTGTGTCCCATTGATTGTCCTCACTCCACCAGGTTTCTGTGATGCCTATTATATCAGCATCCTCCTTTAACACAAGGCACTCTAGTTCACCCATTTTTAGACTTCTAGCATTTGGGTACAAGCACTTTAAAAATTTGTCACTGTTTATTTGTCTGCCCTTTTCTGATGTGTCAGAATCTTTTTTATCTGAATGTTTTTCGTCTGATCTGGCCCATACTTTATCCTCTTCCATACTCTCTTCCTGACTAAAACCTAGAGAATCTCTATCAATAGACTCTCCTCTAAGAGACGTCTCTGTCCGATCCACGTGCTCCTCTGCACCAATCGGCTTTCCCCCGAAAGCTGACATCAAGGTCTGACTAAGTTTTATAGAAAAAGTTAAAGCAACATTAAGGCTGCCTATGAAATACAGGCAGTCCCCGGGTTACGTACAAGATAGGGACTGTAGGTTTGTTCTTAAGTTGAATTTGTATGTAAGTCGGAACTGGTACATATTGTAGGGGAAACTCTAGCCAAACATTTCTCCAGAGCTCAGTCTTATTCTTCCACACCTCACTTCCCTCAGTCCTTCATTCTCAAGCTGAGGTGTCTGCTGAGAAAAGCCGCTCCATGTCTCCCT